CTCGTTCGCTCGGCCTCGTTTCTCCCTTTGTTTTGTCGAGCTATCTCTTTCTGATGTTGATACCTTTTTCCTTTTTCTATCAACAACAAACGGAGTAACCGCGTATTTCGTAGCGCGCAGTGCGTGCGTTTCCGCTTCGTGCGTGGCGATGTCGCTTATTCTCTCTTTTTCCTTCTCTACGTTCCTCCCTACGTTCGCCATTATTGGCCGTTCCATTTCATGCGGCGATTTCTTTCTCTGTCCTTCGCTCTCTTTCGACTCCTTCCTTTCTGATTTCTGAGCCTCTTCTTATCTCTCACGCGTGAATGTACACATCCTTGAGGCTCTCGTTCCTTCGCGCTTCTCGTGAGAGGACCAACCGCGAGTATCGTCAGATGTCGAATCGTGGGGAGGGTCGCGAGGAAGGCGAGATATACGGCGTGGAAAAGGGTTATACTCTCCGGGAAGGATACCATGGATCTTGCGTACAATCAGTGGTGTGCAGGTGTTCGTCCGGTGCGTCTCTGTCAATGCCGCAATCTAAGCCGACCACTGTAGAAACGGCAACAAGCCAACACCTGTTTCCCACCGAGGCCAAGGCATGCGTATTTGATGACGCGGCTGATTTTGTCATTTCGCTTAGCTTAAAATATTCAGGGCTCCGTGGCTAAAAGTATTAAAGATTAAACTGACTGATAAATGTTATTGTAGGAATAATAACACATTAGAATTTTTAGAGAATAGGAAGCTAAATTAATTTGATTATAAGAGTTATAATCACCTCAAACTTAAGAGCAACTCCGCATGAAGAGAACATTTTTACTGAAGTATCTAAAAATTTGACCGAATGAAGATTTGTAAATAATTTTATCACCAAAATATTTATGTAGGACGTTCGAATTGCTTGTTAGAGTATTAAAAAATTTAGCAATAACAACATGTTTAAGCGGTTCCTACATAATCATTTTGAAGAAAATCCAAAAAGACTACTTTTGAATCTACATCCAGATCTTAGATGTATTTCAAATTTTTAGACACTTCAGCAAAACCATTCTTTCCGTGCGAACTGACAGTAGAATCGTTAGCAATTACTAACATTTTTCATGGCCTTTAGACACAAGTGTTTATTTCTCCTGATTATTCTCTTTCGAATGGCTCGTATAGTAGAAATCTATCACGCGGAAATCTTCTCAATAGTATACTATTCGAACGAAAGTAGAACTAAAAGGATACGGAAGAAGGGGAAATGTGAGAAGAGAGAGAGAGAGAGAGAGAGAGAGAGAGAGAGAGAGAGAGAGAGAGAGAGAGAGAGAGAGAGAGAGAGAATTGAACGATTTACGTGAGGAATACAGGCGGCTACACACGATACAGGCCGCCGGACGAACGTGAGGGACCCAAAGCTCATTCAATGACGTGGGAACGTGTGCAGATACCATTCATAAGTCGAGCATATGATGCGTAGAGTGGTAAACGCCCGTATGTGAACCTGTGTGAACTCGTAAATGCCCACATGGTCGAATCTTGTACGAGAGTTTCGCCTCGTCTTATATCATATTATATATATCGTGTGTGTTATCAAAACGGCACGAGGCCATCGAGATTATTAATTATTCTTCTATTCGGCTGTCTCTTTTAATATATTTTTAATACTTTTAATATACTTTTAACAATACACTAAACTTTAATAATTGATTCGCCATCTTTCTATGAAATGAAAATCTATATGGATAAAAGGAGATCGATTTTTTTTGTACAATTCTTCTTTTCATTTTGGGTCACATAATTCGAAAATAATAACTACCCTTATTTTATTTTAGGATAGAGTTTATTACTGAACTGTTTTTGATATTCTTTGATCTTTTCAGAAAAAAATCTAAATCATACTCAAACTAATCTTATAGCTGACACTCTCAAGAACTCCCTCCCTCAATTCTTACGATCGGTTTTTCTTTCATGTTTTACACTCGGGGCATTCGTGTGGGAGTCTGTTTTCCGTTTTTACCTTGTATTGCGTGTATGCGATGTCCATTCATCGTCGTTTTATTGTCGAGTAAAAGAAAAAAAGAGAGCTCAAATTTTTGTCAAAACTGGAGACACGCTTTGGGCGATACGTCCTTGAACCCTTAAAATCTGTTGAAGAATAAGAGATTACCAGAATACCACCTAACATCTCATTACACTTATAATTTGTTAGTACAGCTTATTAACAGTAAATGCAATATTATGAAAAGAAAGTTCGTTATTAATTTTTATTAGAAACTATTATTCTGTACATTAATTATCTAAGAAATAAAATTTTTCTGAAAGAGAAACAGAATTGTAATTGTAATTATCTCGTACTTTCTCTCCCTCTCCCTCTTTCTGTTAAATGGAAAAAGGTCAGTATTTTAATTCTAATTGCATTTGAATTAATAAATGAAAAATATTTTTTGACAAACGGAAGAATATCTGAAATATAGAAATTATCAAGACTACTTTTTTTTTTTTTTTTTTTTGAAAAGAGGCATTAACGAGCGATAACAATGATCGCTGATAGCGCGGAATCATTAGACAATCAGTCCTCGTGGCGGTGCCACGATTTTATCGTATCGTTGCAATGAGTTGCCGATTCATAGAGTGCTGGTGCACCTACGGCGCACACCTGTACCAGCGAGTCCAGGTTTATCGCCGTAGCAGTCTAGGCAGCCACCTGTGCGCAGGCAGAGATGGTCGCACAGGTGTCTTTTAAAACATTTCATTAATTACAAATGGGTAACCGGGCATGGATTCTCATGGTAGCCTTTATTAGTCGTCCGTATTTCACGCACCGTATATCCGAACAAATCCCCAGTAATTTTTTCCCCCACTTGACCTTGACCGCGGAAAGTGGGTAATTTCTTGAAGCTACAAGAGACACAAAATCACGGAAGTGGAATCACATAACGTACAACGTACAACGTGAACGAGCGTGAACGTTTTTACTCTTGGCCACAAGAGGCAGAAAAAGAATGCTCAGTCGTCACTGATGCAATCGTTGTAAATGCGCTGGCGCAATAAATTCCAGTGAAGTCAACCGGGGATCAAGGCGACCAAATGTATGAATCTTGTACAAAAACAAAATAGCATATCTATCTTAAAGCAAAAGAAAATGCTCCCGTTAAATTTTTTGTGATAGAGTAGATTCTTCTTTTACGTTCTATTAACGTCTGTGAAAAGCGAGTCGTTTTGTGCTAGATTTCTTGCTTTCTGTCAGTTGGTCTTTTTTATTTATTTATCGAGGAGTCGATACTTTCAGGTACCGTTATTTCGGGATATCAGGGTCAATACTTTCACAATTGTGTAAAAAGTATTGTTTGCGATATCAAGTGTTTTCTTTCTTTTAAGGAATAACTTCATTAAAAAACTTGCTTCATTGATCAAAACGACCAAGAATAAAAATGTCATTAAATTATATTTTATTTTCTATAATCATTTAGTTCACTTTTATATTAATTATCTTATTTTTTTAATGATTTATTAGCAGCTCGGTGATTTTCTTTCTGAAGAGACAGAGGAAAGACGATTCTGTTGAACATGCAAAAAATATTTCATGACGCAAATATGATATCTACATATCAATGGACACTTGTTGGATGATATTTGCAAATTAATCTGGCGTAGTCCGAGAAGGTGTTTTCAAGTGTCGTGATACTTGGCTATTTCTTTACATTTTTTTGTTATTCTTCCCACGTGACGACCACCCAACCGACAATTTCTCTCTATGTTTCTCTCTTTCGCTCCTGTCAGGAATTCTTTTCCGATTCATCGCGATGTATCTTGTTTATCCAGCAAGATCACACGATCCTGTCGAGGATCAACCAACCAAGCCTAGTAGTCTGTTGATACTCGCTATTAAATAGTAATTGCTACTCGCGAATATTCTCAAATATATATGTGATTAAATGAAAAGTAAAAGAGGATTTGTTAATTAAATTAAGAAATCATTATCACGATTAATTTGTGGCGCATCACGTTGTTAGAACAGCGATCTCCTATATCCCTATATACATAACACATAGAATTTATTTTACAAGCTATGATAATTAGATCGTCTTAGAAAAGATTGGAATCTAATTAATTGGAAAATTTAAGAAGATGTTACACTGATCTGGTTATGAAACATGAAATTGGAAATCGCAGTGAGAGGACGACGAGGCACACTCGAATAGCAGAATTTCTTTCCTTCGACAGACGAAAGATGAAGAAAAAGAAGAAGAAAAAGAAGAAGAAGAAGA